GATCCTTGTTCCAGAGACTATGTTTTGCTTTAACAAGGGAGCCTGTTACCTCATACCTATTCTCTATATGACACAAGTTTGACCTTCCTTTCTCCTCTCCAGCTTCAGCTCACCACTCCCAACTACAGAATCACAGGGCACCCTCAGTTACTAAAGGTGGCAGGAGTCATTTCTCATCCTGGTCAAGTTCCATCTAGAAGAAATGCCAAGACAGTGACTCTCAAAGAACAACTGACTTTGAATTTAGCACCACTGCAGAGGGCAGAGCACTAGCCTGGTTGTTAGAAGGCATGCTTCGAGGTGGTAGCCTCCTGTCACTGACCTGCTGTGTGATCTGGGTGGTACCACGTTCTCAAATCTGCAGATTAAATACATGATTAGGCCACCAACAGCATGGTTACAAAAGACAGAGGGAAAGCAGAAAGAATCTAGTAAGAAGCTATTTTAATTTCAATATACATGTGAGCTTTGAGTCATTTAAAAAGAGTAACATTTCCAGGTGCGGTGGCTCATGCCTGTAATCCAACACTTTGGAGGCTGAGGCAGGTAGATCACGAGGTCAAGAGATCAAGACCATCCTGGCTAACTTGGTGAAACCCCATCTCTACTAAAATACAAAAAATTAACCAGGTGTGGTGGCACATGCCTATAGTCCCAGCTACTCGGGAGGGCTGAGGCAGAAGAATTGCTCGAACCCGGGAGGCGGAGGTTGCAGTGAGCCAAAATCGTGCCACTGCACCCAGCCTGGGTGACAGAACGAGACTCTGCCTCAAAAACAAAACAAAACATTTTTGTTTAAAGGTTTAGTATTGCTTTCACTTGGAATCACATACGAAGAGGTACTAAAATCTTTTCAGCACTCAGGACTACTGAAGGTCTTGATCCAGCTGGGTGCTTTTGGACACGTATCTTCCCCTTGCTGGGTCTGGGATGTCAAGTGTTAATGGCACGTACAGTGGTTAATGACTGAATTTTTGGTACCACACCACAGAGGTGTGGTACCCCCATACAGGGACAGATGATGCAAATATACCACTCTCCTCCTAAAACCTAATCAACTTCATCAAGGTCAAAGTTGAGCCCAACAGTCATAACTTGAATCTTCTCCTGTTACTCTACTATTCCAACATTCTGACACTTTTATCACTTTAGCTGTTAATGTGTCTAAAAAAAAGAGAAGATTAAATTTCTTGTTCCTAAAGTGGAAGAAATTCTAGTCGACATTGTGGTATCCAAATTTCCAGGGAAGATGTTTTCAACACATGGAAATACCATGAAGTAGACCAGGAATTTCATGGTATTTAAAAAGAAAATGGAAAGCGGGGTGGGGTGGGAAGAGAAAAGAAAATGGGTTTGCTTCCCATACTCTGTCAACCCACTGTCCCAAGGGACTCTGGGGATGACAGGTAGGACAGAGACAAAGTAAGCCCTGGCAGAGTGCCTGTTCCAAGTCCCCAAATTCCTGCCCCCCTCCCCGCTCCATCTGACTTGAGAGGCCATCTCGTCTCCTTATTAGCAAGGACAATCAAACTCTGGGTCCACAACACCTCATCTAATGGCAAACCAGTTACAGTCTGGAGGTGCCTTTTTCATTGTTTCATCTCCGTATAGATTTACAACAGTCTACCCTCACACTGGAATTATTATTTAAACACAAATAAACCAGCTGTCCTTTCTGATTTGGAGCCAGAATTGACACAAAGTTGGAAAATCAAGAGGTAGGAATTTTACATAAAGATGAAGAGGGAGTTTCCACCATGGACCCAACTGGCTGTATTCAAGCCAAAATAATTGTAAGAAGCAAGAGAGCATCTTTCCCACAGCAAGTTCATGAGCTAGTATAACATGATAGTTCTCCAGTGTTATTAAACATACCCAGAATTATCTAGTGCGTCAGTGACTTCCTTGATCGCAAAAGAGATATTATATCCCTAGGCGGATGGCCTGATTGCTTTTGTAATTATCATCTAAGCACCTACAAACATTAAATAGATCTCCGAGGGAGGAGTTGGAAAGCTTAGATTGACTCAGCATATGGTGGCAGGCATGGAGCTATTTCCCAATGGCTTTGACGATACCATTTTTTTAGATGAAGAACGCAGAGTACAGGCCACAGATGCAATAAAACAGGGCACATTCAAAACCAGATATGGGAAAAACCTCAATTTATAGGCAGGGCCATGCCTAGGTTGTGGCAACTGCCACAGATCCACAACCACAGGGGCCTTTAGCAGTCCTGTGGTCTGCCCTCTCCTCTTCCTATCCCCATCCCCTATGCTATACTAGTTATAAGAGCTTCTAGGGCAGTCTCAAAGGGGTTCAAGTTACCAAAGAACAGCCTTCAGTGGAGTGGGGGGGATGTTGCCAGGCAACCAGCCTAGCCCAGTCCACCCCTGTAACCTTGAAAATGGTGGGGGCATGACCCATGGTTGTGATTGTGTAGAGAAGCACCTTGAACTCCTTCAGCAACCACTTTCTCCTCCTCTATCTCACTCCTCCTCTCTCTATCCTCCTCCTACTGCTTCTCAGGGTCCCAGTCCAGCCTGCAGCCTATGGGCCAGTCTGACTTGCCACTACGCAGTCAGTGGCAGCCAAGTTGTCCCAGCAGGGAGGCTATAAGTGCTGGCCTGTCAGCTGTCATTCACTCTGGCCATGTTGCTTTCCAACCTTCTTCCCACCTTCCCAGGTTTCTCCTGCCCCACAGTCAAAAGACATAGCTAGAGGAAGAATCAGAGATCCAACCAGATGGAGGATATGCAGGGTAAAATGCTGACTGGGAGTGCTGACCTCCAGCAAAATGGTCACTAAGGGAGTGGGAGTCCTAGCAGGAAAAAGCATAGGGAAGAAAAAGGGCAAGACATGACAGTGTTCATTTATTTACTTATTTGCAGACAAAATCTAATATTCGGCCTGCTGAACACCTTGTTGAAGCTTATGCCTGAGTGACAAGGAAGTGGCCAGATGGTGCACTGATTATGCTCCCCAACTCTCTTTGCATTTGGCACTTGTGTTCAGACCATTGCTGAGAAGGCCTACCCACAGCTCCTGAAGAGAAAAGTGTGCACGGGGAACTTCAAGGGGAGTCTAGGATAGGACATTAGACCACAAAATGGAAAATCAGAGCTTTTCACCAACTTACAGAAGGTAACTGTGTTCCATTTATGCAGGAGTCCCTTGGGTGCCTCTGAGCCGGGGGACATGTACATTCTCAAAGGCAAGAGGCCACACCTGAGGCCACACCAGGAATGAAAGAGGGCCACTCTTCCCATTCTTGAAAACTGCCAAGCCAAACCAATGGCAACTTAAGAACTGTTCCTCTCCTTTTCAAACTATCCACTGCATAAAGCCATCTCTTTCTAATCTAGCAGATCTATGGAGAGGGTTAGGCCCCAAAGGTGACTTGGTGAAGCCCTGCCTTCCCTCCCATGGAAAAGGCTGGCTATTCATTGGACAGGAAGGTAGAGTTGAAAAAACAGAGCCTCCTCCCTGTGCTTAACTTACCCTACTGAACTCAGTAGGTGGCTCCCTGAAAACTGGGTAGGGATTTTGAAAACTATTCCTCAAACGGACTTATCAAATTTCTCCTAGACTAATCCTGTAATTAGTGGGATCCCAACAAAAAACTGAGCCCCCACCATGCAGAGGTTCCTGGTCCCACGTCTACATTCCATCTGGCAGTCATCTGTGGCTTTCACCTTTCTTTTCCCATAGGACCCAGTTCATTTTTCTCCACCAGAGACCTCTGCCGTCTACCTAAGAGGTCAGAGACCTTTATGAAGAGAGGTACCAGGGCCTGACTCCAGTCTTTCTGGAAAGGGTGGGGATGGGGTGTAGTCTGCAAAGAAGAGGGGCTGACCCAGGCAATTCTTTCCCAAGGTAGCCTGATGTTTACACTCAGAAATCAGCCAGTGGCCATCTGCTGCCTCCATCGGAAACTTTCTGGCCACACTGCTCCTTCTCTCCCCAGCTTTCTGGAGGAACTGATTGGCCCTGGTACCCGGCATGCCCCAGCTGTAGTCAGCATTTCCAGCCTACTCAGTCCCCTTGCTTTCAGCAGAAGTCCCACACTCTCAGGGGGTACTGCATTTCCACAGACAGAGGATTCCCCATGTAAAGTTTTGGGATACAAAACAGTAAAGGACAAGGGCTCGCTTAGCTCCCCGACCCTCTCACGCCTCCCACGTGCTCAGTGAGGGCACCACTGGCACCTGGCGTTTCTCAGGCGCGTTTCTCAGGCATGGTCGATTCCTAAAGTGAATGCACTTCAGGAAGCTGATGTTAGTTTATTTAAATGACTCTCTCCCGCAAATCTCAGCCGGACCCTAGCGGTAGGGGGTAGGGGGTCAGTGAAGCCATGGGCAGTCCTCTCCTCCCCGCTCCCGGCCACTCCCCAAAGGGGGAGAGCGGCCCTGAACGTGCCGAGAGAAGCAGGAGGGAGGGCGTGCTCAGACACTGCTATGAGTGCGAGCCGCGTCCACGCTCCAGCTGGAAGTTGCACAGGTTTAAAGCCAATAGGCACTACCGGACGGCTCCTGCCGCCGCGTAGGTGGCGGTCGGCTCCCGCGCGCTTTCTGAAGTGGCCGAGCTCATAGACTCGAGAAAAGACGCCAGCGGCTCAGCCATTTGGCTTCGGACGCTGCGATGAGGAGGGCGCCGAGGGCCTGGGGCTGGGGTGGGCGGCTGGGGGGAGTATCGCCCAAGCCGTCCTGGACCCCAGGGGGTCCTCCTCCACCCAAATCCCCAGGAGGCAGCCACCAACCCCAGGGCCGGGAGTCTCAAGGGCACGGGGCCACTCCGGACGGTGCAAATGGGTCCAAGAGCAGGAAGTTCCAGCGGTAGGGCGGCGGTGGAGCGGGGACGGGGGTCAGGGAAATGGGATCCCCTCACTCCCAGAATGGAGGGGAGGGGGCGGAGAGAGGTGGGCACCGGGTTGAACGGCGACTGGCGCCCCCAGAGGCTGGGTAGACGCGGGCCGCGAACCGCTGGGACGCCGTTTTTACCTAGCTCTTCCTCGTCGTCCTCCGGGCCAAGCAGGCGGCAGGGAAGGCGGCGGCGGAGGCGCACGGTGCGGCGGTACAGGCTGTCGGTGCGGTGCCCCAGGGCCAGCAGGTGCCCCTCTAGGTCCTCGAGTAGAGCCAGCGAGTGGCCACAGAGGTCAGCGAGCTGCCGGAGCAGGCTGAGCGCGGCCAGGTGGCTCACGTCGCGGAGCTCCGCCAGAGGCTGCGGCGGATTGCGCGGGCACAGGCGCTGGGGCACCACCGTGCGCCTATAGAACGGCATCCCGGCCGCGGGCGCGGGTACGGTGGACCAGCCTGGCGGTGCGGCCGGCTCACCCCAAGCGGCGCCCCTGGCCCGAGAGCCCCTGAACGGCGGCCCCAGCTCCGGGTGTAGCAGGCCCCTGGGCGCGGGCTGGAGAGCTTGCGGGCGCCAAAGACGCCGGGCGGGCGGGTGGGCGGGCTGACGGGTTCCTAGCCTAGAGCGCCGGCTCCCCCAGGGGCTGCACACTCGCCGGAGTCACCAGTCCCTCTGACTCTGCTTCTCCGGGCTCCTCCTCCTCCTCCTCCTCCCCTCCTTTCCCCTCCTCCTCCACCCTAGCTCTGCTACTTCGGGATCCCCCCCATCCACCTTTTTTTTCTTTTGCGGTCAGAGATTCGCAGATTAACGCTTGATCCGGGAGAGGGAGAAAGGGAAGTAGGAGTAAAAAGAGCGAGCTGGAGCGTGAAAGAAGGAATGTCTGCGTGAGGGGGGACGTGATGTTCGGTGCAGGATGTATGCCCGGGCCCTCCTGAGGAATTCCACTCCCGGTTCTGATGGTTAAAGTTATTTTCTGCTTTTATTTAGAGAAAACAAACTTTTTCTTCTAATTACCGAAAAAAAAAAAAAAAAAATTCAAGCACACCCACGTCCACATCAGCAAGTAACCAGCGAAGATCTACCAAATAGTTTGACTTCATTCATCTAACTTTCCTGCCCCAAACATACTCGATGCCACGCACAGGCTAGACTAGACTGTGAATACAGCCTTCTAGCACCCAGGAGCTTGGAAATAAGGAACAAAGAACCGAATATCTTACTCGACTGTTCAGAAGGACAATATCTCTAGGGAGTCCCACAGTGTCTGGAAATTGTAAAGGCATTGGAGTGGATGAATGGAAACAAACCCATTTTCTGGAACAATAGATTCAATTCAGATAGACGGACACCCCTCCATAGTTTATGCAAAAAGAGAGCCCAGGGACGCCTCCTTCTGGCAGGATCCGCCAGCTGGGATAGGCTCTATCCCTGGCCAGGCTGAGCTGCTGGGATGCTCTCCCAAGGAGGGGTACAGGAGCCGAGATGTGCTTTCAGTACGGGCATCCCTGTGGTCACGTCCTGATTTCTCTCCATTCCAGAAGGCAGAAAAGAGGGGGCACATTGTCGTCTTCAGAAAACCAGAGTACCTGAGCATATGTCCTTGTGCACTTAGGGCCTTTCCACTCAGAACGCTTATTTTCAACATACTGAGCTCCCATCTGACTCTCCTCTAACCCACTTCTTTGACTTTGGTGTGCTTCCGTTTCTTCCTTCTCTTAATTCTCTCCTCATTTTTCCTCTTACAAATGTTCACATCCGTATTATCCTTTATACTCAATTAGCAAAACCCTTTTATTTTAGAGACAAGGTCTACCATTCTGTCACACTGGCTGGAGTGCAGTGGCGTGGTCACAGCTCACTGCAGCCTTGAATTCACTCTGGGCTCAGGGAATCCTCCAGTCTCAACCTCCTGATTAGCCAGGGCTATAGGCACATGCCACCATGCCTGCTAATTTAGTTTTTATTTTTGGTAGAGACAGAATCTCACTATGTTGCCCAGGCTGGCCTTAAACTCCTTGGCCCCAATCAATCCTCCTGCCTCAGCCTTCCAAAGCACTGGGATTACAGGCATGAGCCACCGCACTGGCCAATAAAACACTTTGAACAGAATACCTACATCTACATTAATGATTCTGAGCATGGCCTGTTTTCATGCATTCCTTCAGATAATTAATTGTCCCTTAAGCAGTTCAAGAAGGCTCTACAACTAGTATATTTCAAAATTGCTAATAGATTCTAAATGTTCGCACCACAGAAACATGGTAAATATGTGAGATGATGGATATGTTAACTAGCTTGATTTAATCATTCCACAGTGTATTAATATATATGCATGAAACATCACATCATGCCCCACAAATACATATAATTATTTGTCAATTAAAAATAAAGTGAAAGAGTAATCCGGTTTCCCTTTTCAGCATATAGTTGTTTCTTGTTTAGTAAATTAGAACATGGATATTCTAAAAGTTGGGTTCTGATTAAAATAAGAATCAATACATGGGCAAAAGACTTGTACCCTTACTGAACTGTAAAATTCAGTTGCAGAATTAAAAAAAAACCCAAATTCTCTATTTGGCAAACTCAAACCTGAGCCAAGAGAGCGACCAGCAGGAAGTAGGGGCTTGGCTGGCTCTCCAGGGATACTTTTCCTTGACCTATGAGCTGTTTAGACTGATCTCTGCTCTGGAGAAAAAGAAACGAGGTACAAGCAAATTGAAGGAGACTGTGTGGGCAGAGCTTCACTGTCTGAGCACAGCAGACCTAGGATGGGCCTGGTCGCTGAGCCTCCCTCACTACTGTGATTCCTGAGGCTGATGAATCTTTCAGAGATCTGTAATAACAAGCCCAACTCCAAGCAAACCAGCTTTGGCCCTACCCCCTTTCCCCACCGCCTAGTCTGCTCTCACTCCAGCCTCATCAGTGAGATGGCCCTGGCTTTCATCAAGGAAACATCAAATACTTGCAATGGAGTCACCTCACAGCAGAACCCCTCCTCCCTTGCCAGGACTAGAGTGGGTCTGCTTGTATGATGGAAAAAGCCAAGGTAATATAAATTGTCACCTTGCTTCTTATCCAGTGTCTTCCCACCAGGAAAGGTGAGACCTTGAATAAGGGGCTGCCTTGGGTTCAAGGGGTGGGCAGAGATGCAGAAGACCTCAGGGGAAGGAGTGCAGGGAGCCAGGCTCTGGTATGTGAAGGGAAAGTTAGAGTTCTTGAAATACTATATTCCAGCCAAGCTAGCTGGGCAGGAAAGCAGCTAGGGTAAAGTGACCTCCCCTGTGCCCCCACATCACCCTTTGTATCTGGCACAGTGTAGTGGAGGGTCATATGAGCATCCTTGTTTAAATACTAATATTCCTTTGTAATAATACTGTCTCCCTCATATGATTGTTAGCTGCATGGGGGCAAAAACTGTATCTGTCTTGTTCACTGCTGTATGCCCAGTGCCAAACCCAGCAATGAGCATACAGTAGGTACTCTGAAAATGCCTGCTGAATTAATGAATAAATGGAGGATAGCAGGTAGAGCAAGGTATGAAGAGCTTTACTAAAGGATTTAACTGAACCGGCTATAGAGTTGTGGGTTCTCGAGCAGAACATTGCCTGATACAAAGAAGGAGGTGCTTAAGAACTTTTCATGTAGAGGCCAAGGCTGCTACACCCCACCTGCGCTCACATCCCCAGGGCCAAGTAGCCAGAAAGTGCTCTGTGAATTCAACATTTGCTTTGATTTGCCTATAAACCTTGGCATTACACATTCAGAAGGAGAGAAAGAAATTGAAGGTGCGAAGGAGAGAAAGAAATTGAAGGTGCAAAGAAGAGAAGGGGAGGCCCTCGACAGCCAAGTCAGACCTGAAAATGCTGGATGCTTCCCACCCACCCACCACCTTCCAGGCTCCAGGCCTGCAGCAGTTCATCCTGATAACAGATTTTGGAGTGGCAGTCTGAGCCTAAGCCTAAGCACCTGTGGAATCAGGTATGGATCTGACCTAGAAGCAAAGACAGAAGAGTAGCCAGAGAGGCAAAAGCGTTGACCACTCAAGACCAGAAAGGCCTCTGCTTTCTTTCCATCTCCCAACCTGCCTTTCTAGCTGCTGCTAAGAACCTAGAATTTCGATAAAAATGAACTTGAAAGAAGAAATAAGTGACATAGGATATGTCATTTCTCCTCCTTTGAGCTGGCAGTTTCCACAGCTGCAAAATGACAATTTATGAGCAAACCTCATATGACCTACCCAGCTTCCCAGTACAGCCCTCACTCCAACATGTAATCCTTGGAGGATTACATGTTGCTACCTCTCAAATAGTGCCACATAGTAGCAACTTGGTGGCTAAGAAGGGATGTCAGCTTCTCTTTTGTTTTGTTTGTTTTTGTTTCAAGATGGAGTCTTGCTCTGTTGCCCAGGCTGGAGTGCAGTGGTGTGAACTTGGTTCACTGCAATGTCTGCCTCCCGGGATCAAGTGATTCTCTTGCATCAGCCTCCTGAGTAGCTGGGACTACAGGCATGCACCACCACACCCAGCTAATTTTTGTATTTTTAGTAGAGACGGGGTTTCACCATCTTAGCCAGAATGGTCTCAATCTCCTGACCTTGTGATCTGCCTGCCTTGGCCTCCCAAAGTGCTGGGATTACAGGCATGAGCCACCATGCTCGGCGGCTTTCTCTGCACTATTCCTCTACAGTCAATTGTTTTATCTAAGGTTTTTTTTTTCTATTTCTGATTTTAGAGACAAGGTCTCGCTATGTTTACCAGACTGAACTCGAACTACCAGGCTAAAGCAATCCTCCCAAGTAGGTGGAACTATAGTCTCACACTATATTTTATCTAAATTTTAAGAACATGTATTCCACCCCACACCCTCTTGCTATGAGACGCAGTAAAGATGCTTTCATTATGAATGAAAAAATATACATATAGCCAGTAGGGGCATGAAAAGGCTGTTTGTTAATCCCAACTCTAACATAGTGTTCTCTGGTTCTAAGTGTCTATATCAAGAGAAATGAACAAGAATTGGCAAATACTTGATCAAATTGACTCTCTTTGTAAATGTTATTTATCCTTTTTGGTATTAATTTGAGGCTCTGCAGTTAAGAATACAGGTAAACTTTCTCCCTCAGGCAGCCCAGTAACCCAAGGAAATCAAACTGGTGGCTTTTCAGTCAGATAGAGCCTATAATTCAACTAACAATGCAGACAGTATCAATGCTAATCAATGCTACAATTTGAAAAGAGGGATTTGTGGATTGAGTTTATCTTTATAATGATTATTAACAAATAACAAAATTTGATAAATTATTAATGAAACATGCAAAGTTAAAAAAAGTGGGTACACTGAGTGGATCAGTACTACAAGATTTGAAAGGAAATAACACGCTTCTTCCCTAGAGGCAACAGAGGCTTTGCTGAACAGGAGGGATGTAACCCCAGAGCTAGGCCTCCAAGGGTGGACTGGAAACTTACATGGCCATCATTTATCTCCTGGGGCAGTAGGCGTGTGATCCAAAGACAGCTCAAGGTCCTAAAATAAATTACTTTCAGCCTAGTCTCAATGCTTCACGCACATGGGGCAAACCCTTCAAGAATTCCATGATGAAATAAACCTTTATTTCAAAAATTAACTTTGATGTTGTTTGAACTTTGTCCTTGACTCTGAGCCCAGG